GAGGCAGTAATCTCCTTCTACCATGTGGGTCCTGGGGACTGAATCCAGGATTGGCAACCAGCTCCCATGTCTACTGAGCCATCTCACCAGTCCCTAGTCTGTCATGCATTTTCTGTTGGTTCTGGCTCTCTGGAGGACTTTAACTATGTCTCTATCAGTGCAGGGTACTATAACAAGACATTACAGACCTGAGAATATTCAAGAACAGACGTTTCTTCCTCGTACTGCTGAAAAACCCCCAAGATCAAGCCAACAGCAGATCCTGTGTCTCTTACATCTTCATGTGGTGAAGAGAGAAAATTCTAAACGTTCTCTCACGAACCCATTGTGGGCTCCACCCTTGACTCCTTGTTTGAACCTAAACACCTCCCAAAGGTGTCCTCCTATACCATCCATTTGGATTAGTTACCACATGTGACTCTTTGGGAGACAGGAGTACACCAGCCCATACTCCTAAAGGCAGTGAAGGAGTTAAACTCCAAGGACATTTATCACAATCATTAAGCCCTATCAAAATTAAGCAGGCATCACTCTCCCTATGATAACTGGACCTTTCAATGTCAAGCCCAAGGACTCCTACTCAGCTTCTGGGTGTAATTCATCTGTCGAGACAGCTCTATATTAACCTACTAATCTATGTATGGCTAATGACTCAGGACGGCCCATTGACCTTGACTTGACTTGGAGGTTTTCATTGTGACTGCCCTCCCAAATAAGTGCAGGGGTTGGAGGTAGGTGGCTTGGCACATCATAACACTTTTTTTTCCCTCCACAAGTTGACTCCAGTATAGAAAGCATTCCTTTTCTATCTTTTGGCCAGGATTTTACAATCCTGCCTTGGAGCCTCTCCGTAAGTCTGGTGAGCCTTCACCAGCAGCCTCTCAGCTCAGCTTCCTCTGCAGCTACCTCCCACCCATAGGCCAACCACTTCTGACACCACATGCCCAGGAGTGGGGGTAGCACGGCTTCATAGAGAAGACCCCAAGAGGCCTGACCCTGTGTTATCAGAGCCACACTCAGGACCATGGGAAGGCCCTGGGGGAGGCAGAAGGAGCAGCTAGAGAGGCTGTTTGGATCCAGCTTCCTCTTTTCTGGAGGAGAGACTCAACACTGTCAGCTGCTAACCATGGCTTTTACCCCTTTCTGCCAAGGCCCATAAATGGCCATGGGGCAGATGATCCCTGGTGGCTGTAGGCACTGAGTTTGCAAATCACTGTGACCAGAGCCCAGAGGCCACCCTGGTTTTGGTGTGAGTAGCCTCAAAGTCAGCTTTACCTTTTATTTGAAGCCCCACACAAACCCCAAGCTTCCAGTGGCTCTCATTAAGCTCCCCTTTCTTCTTTGTCTCCTTAGACGAGAGCAAAGAACTGCATTTAAAATTTTCACTGACTGATTTATACCCTGCCCGCTTCCAGGAGGGATGACAATAAAACCGCAGGTACAGTGTGGCCAGGCATATGTAGCCAAGACAAAGGAAGGGAACAAAGGCAGAGAATCATGGCCAGTCTCAGGCTTTCAGGACAGCAGAATCGGAGATTTCAGTCTCTGGATACCTTTAAACTTCCCCAAGATGTAAAGGTTACTTTCTTTATTTCTGAAACACTCTCCTCCGGCCCCATCTGAAAGGCAGCCCTCCTTTTGTGACTGAGCAGGGAGGCCTGATTTCTGCTTACAGGAATTGTTCGGTGCTGGGCTGGCTGGCATAGCAGCCGAGGCTGAGGTTGGCTTCCTTGCTGTCACTTGACAGCTCTTAGCACACTGCCTGTGCCCACAGAAAGCCTGGGCAGGATTGTATTTCTCAGCTGAGTCTGCACACTGGTGGCATGCTGTCTAAGCTGGGCCCTGCCTAGCTTGCAGCGTTTTCTAATCTCCCTTACAGAGACAAAGGAAGAAACCCAGAGTGAGTCCCTGTTTGAGACCACTGCACCTGGCACTGTAGGACATCCATCCAGAAGAGGAACAGTGTATTGTGCCTCTGGAAGAGACAGGCATGATCCCAAATCATGTCCGGAAGTGAAAGGGGAAGGGGAGGGAGTGAAAAGTGCTGAGTGTGGGCTTTGTACCCAGTCTGCAAGGTTCCCTCTTGGGGGAGGGCCAGAGGAGGCCTTGGCCAAACTCCACCCACTTCTAACCACTCTCTGAGCCTGAAGAACAAGCTGAGGGACTTGGGAGGTTGAGGCTGGAGGATGGCAAATTCAAAGTCAGCTTGGGAAACTGAATGAATCCCAGTCTCACAGAGTGGAAAAGAGGATTGTGGGAAGAACTGGGTTGTAAAACCCTTGTTTAATATGGGGTGAGTCGGGTGGGGGGGTGAGAGGGTGGGGGTGGGACTCAGTAAAATTAATTAAATAGGTGAGTAAAGTAAGAGGAATACAAAAACTCCCTTTAGTTTCTGTCAATAGGTCATAAAGACATTTGTCTTCGAGAGCTTCCATGGATGTGCTGGGTGGAGCTCAGTGGTAGAGCAATAGTCCAGCATGGGAGAGGCCTGGAGTTCCAGCCCCAGCACCCTAACAAATTAGATCCCACAGTGATGTCCTCTTGAACCTTGGCCAGGGCCTAAAGACACAGAGCACAGAGCCTGAAAACATGGGACTGCCCTTTGCATCTCTGCTTCATATCTGTCTTCCAGTACATGCTTCCTTACTTACAATATGGGGCATTAAATTAAACTACGGAAATGAAAAGTCACACATGAGGATGATTACAAAAACCTTTACACGTGTGTGTGTGTGTGTGTGTGTGTGTGTGTGTGTGTGTGTGTGTGTGTGAGCGCGTGTGCGCGCGCTCAAGCTCCCATTCCTGGAGTACCCCCATACCTCACCATGTATGGCTCAGGTCCTTAGGGCAGGACAGCTGCCAGAGGCAGGCTTGCCTGTCCCTTCCCTCTCCTGCCCCACCCCTCTCTGGCAGCAGCTGATGCCCTTGGATAGGTCGGAGTTCCCCCAGGCAGCTGGTCCTGGTTGAGAACTGGGAGGCTTGACCACAGGCAGAGTGTTCCCTATGTGCAGTGAGGGGGGGT